TAGATATAAGATATAAGATATAAAATATAAGATATAAGATATAAGATATAAGATATAAGATATAAGATGTAAGATGTAAGATGTAAGATGTAAGATGTAAGATGTAAGATGTAAGATGTAAGATGTAAGATGTAAGATGTAAGATGTAAGATGTAAGATGTAAGATGTAAGATGTAAGATGTAAGATGTAAGATGTAAGATGTAAGATGTAAGATGTAAGATGTAAGATGTAAGATGTAAGATGTAAGATGTAAGATGTAAGATGTAAGATGTAAGATGTAAGATGTAAGATGTAAGATGTAAGATGTAAGATGTAAGATGTAAGATGTAAGATGTAAGATGTAAGATGTAAGATGTAAGATGTAAGATGTAAGATGTAAGATGTAAGATGTAAGATGTAAGATGTAAGATGTAAGATGTAAGATGTAAGATGTAAGATGTAAGATGTAAGATGTAAGATGTAAGATGTAAGATGTAAGATGTAAGATGTAAGATGTAAGATGTAAGATGTAAGATGTAAGATGTAAGATGTAAGATGTAAGATGTAAGATGTAAGATGTAAGATGTAAGATGTAAGATGTAAGATGTAAGATGTAAGATGTAAGATGTAAGATGTAAGATGTAAGATGTAAGATGTAAGATGTAAGATGTAAGATGTAAGATGTAAGATGTAAGATGTAAGATGTAAGATGTAAGATGTAAGATGTAAGATGTAAGATGTAAGATGTAAGATGTAAGATGTAAGATGTAAGATGTAAGATGTAAGATGTAAGATGTAAGATGTAAGATGTAAGATGTAAGATGTAAGATGTAAGATGTAAGATGTAAGATGTAAGATGTAAGATGTAAGATGTAAGATGTAAGATGTAAGATGTAAGATGTAAGATGTAAGATGTAAGATGTAAGATGTAAGATGTAAGATGTAAGATGTAAGATGTAAGATGTAAGATGTAAGATGTAAGATGTAAGATGTAAGATGTAAGATGTAAGATGTAAGATGTAAGATGTAAGATGTAAGATGTAAGATGTAAGATGTAAGATGTAAGATGTNCTGGCACTCTACCATTTAACGTAAAATGAGAGTGCCAGGCTCACCTAGAGCTCCTGTGGGGAAAGAGCATGGCAGAGAAACTCTCGATCGTTGCTCTAACTACCCAAATATAAATACAAAACAACCGCTAACCAAAAGACATATATTAAGATCCTTTGCTAATGATAAATAAAACATATCTTATTTAATGTGTCACTAAATGTCACCTCACTCGAATCAGACATACACACTTCCAAGTAAAACTGAAGAGGTTTGATGTTAGTTAGCCGGCAGGGCCGGAAGGTACTGGAGTCCCATACGGGAGGCAATCCAGCTATGAGTTGAGATTTCGGAAGATCTGTTTTATCAATTCTTTTTTTGTATTTAATTATTCTTTTTTTTTCAGATTCGTTGTTTTGTTTAAAAATACACAAGTTTGCATTATATGTCAGAAATGCAACATACAATTATTATTTTTTTAGGTACTTCTTTTTATTTGATTTTTTGTCCGGTATTAAATAAAATAAAATAAATAAATAAACGACTCTCATATCTCCTATATTTTAGCGGCATTGGGTAACCTTTTTAATTATAGTAATATTTAATGAACAATAATTTTGATATTTTATAATCAAAAAATAAAAATGTTCTTGTTTAATAAATTATTATTAAATCAGTTCAAATTAACAAAAAATGAGAAAAAATTGAAAAAAAAAAAACAGGAAAAGTGATATTATTAGTTATCCCAGTGTAAAGGTAATAAGAATACCGAATATATCTGAATCATGTTGTTTTTTTTTGTTTGGTAGATATCTATCCCTCACTTATGTTCTCCATTCTTTATGTTCTTTTACTTTATTAAAAAGATTGTATCAGATAATGTTTTCGTTATATTTTGTTAACTTCTAAAACGTAAAAGTTGTACAAAAATAGAATTTCACAGAAAACTGAAAGCTCTTTATCGATAGGTACTTAAAAATATTCCATTCATAATAACAATTAATTACGTAATTCAGCATTTTTTAATTAAAAGTATTAGGTTTACATTAGCTCCATAAATTATTATTGGAAAATATTCCAAGATAAATCCGAGTAAGAAGTTCGTTAAAATAAAATGTATTCATCTGTTCAACAACACTGAACATGCAAGTATCCCTACTAAAAAAACTGGGAAAATAGTTTTTGCATTTCAAATTGTTTCCGTTAATTATAATTGTTTTCAATCTGAGAGAAAGATCATAGAGATTATTATTTGTAACCTTGCCGTTCCGTTTCTTTTTTTATTTAACCTTCGACATCACAGTTGTGCCAAACATATACTAGTACCTATCTGATTAATATAATGACCAGTTACAATGCCGTTCACTTATTAAAGCTGTAAAAATGTGGATACACGTAGTTCTTTATACTGTGTGTTCCATTGTGAAAGGCAATTGCGGCAGCGATCTACGTATTTTTTAAAATTTTGCCTTTAATACAGGTATCTGTAATACCACCTTAGACCACTCATCTCAAAATCAGAGAAATAATATTTAATCTCACACCCTATAAAGTGAATACCATATTTTATTACCTGTATCAACTTTTTCATCTTCTGAAAAAATTAAATAGATAATAATAATAATACAGTAGATTTTTGTAGAGGTTTTAGATAATTCTTCCTCAAAAGATAAGAACTGCTAAATAGTGGATCAGATAGTAAATAGGCGCAAATTATGTAATACTTAATGAAAATAATTAGCAGTAATTTATACAAATAACAATTTTTTATTTTTAATTGCTGACATATCACCTCATAAGTGAATTGGCACTAAGCTGTTAAAAACTAACAACAGTTGTTTATCAAAATACCATATTTATTTATTATATGTGCGTCACTAAAAAGTGGTTTCACCTGTGGAAAAATTGAAACAAAGACTTTCAACAATTTATATGGAACAAAACAACAGTTATATTTTTTCAATATAGGGATGCAAATATTTTTAATTGCAGTTATGGTTTTCTTAATTAAAATATAAAATTAAGAAAAGTTGCACGAATTTTCTTATCAATTAATTTTCATTTCAGTAGAATATTTTTTGACAAACCCTGAAAGTATTAAAAAAAATTAAACAGAATAACATCATTTCATTTGATAATATTGAAAGACAAAACCAATAGATAAATTGTAGGTACTCTGCAACAGTTTTTAATTAAACTGGATTTAAAGTGAATATGACTAGAAAACAGTTTATTTAGTAGGTAACATGTTACTGCCTTTTTTTTGTGAGTGAACAAATTGTCCACATTCGATAGGTTCGCGAACGAAAAAATATTTTAAATAAAATTCAAAATGAATTAAAATTCATCATTTTTTCAGTTGTTTTTACATGGCAACACCTGCATTCTATTTAAAATTGCCGCTGTCACATAGAAGATGACATTTGTCAAGTAAGATTTTATCATGTTATTTTAGTCTTATAAATGTTTTAGGTATATGCAAACATTTTCTTTTGAAATTAAATTAACTGAGATGAAATAATTTGTTTTATTCATGAATTACTGGAAAACACATTATATATTTTTTTCTACCGTAGGTATATAAGTATGAAATAGTACATCTCACAATAAGAGATGAACATATTAGTTTTTCCTCAATGAACAATTAGTCGTGTTAGCAGGGAGTGAGACGACACCGACGCAATATTTAATATCGAGCTTTAAATGCCATTTTTATACTCATACATAGTTTTATGTTCAATTTATTTAAAAATGAATCATAATCCAGTGAAATATTTATTATTTTTCTTTTAGTTGCTTCCACATATAAAGACATGCATTATACAGTGCGTTCCAGAAGTAACGCAAAAAATTCGTATTTTATTTTGTGTTGCGTTTTCACAAAAACGCTAAAACACGTCAATTAGTAAATAGGAATTATAGTTTTGTTTGCTTAAACCTTTTTTGCGCTATGTTTCACAAACTTAAGATGTCATCGACATTTTTTTTAATTAACACTACCTAATTTTTTAAGCATAAATGGATAGCCGTTTTGAAGGAAAATGCGTCGATATAGGGTTTGGCCTACTTTACTTTGACAGGTGCGAAAAAAGCCAACGATTCGAATGGTTTCGAAAAAAGTATAAAGAGACAAAAAGTTTATAAATTTAATGGTTTTCTAGTGGACTGATCATTTATAAGAAATTTAAATATGCGGCCAAATTTTTTTGGCTCCAAAGACAAGGGGGTCCACGAAAAATTGTCTTACCAAAAAAACGTAGCACCATCAGATTCCACATGTCATAAAACCCCTGTGTACCAAATTTAGTGATTCTGGTACAACAGGGTTCTGAGATATAAAAAAAAGATTATTCTTAGGGGCGGGCTTCAGCGGGCTGTAACTCCGAAAGAAGGGGCCACTTGGCAAAAATAAAAAATACGGGTCCCCTAAATTTGTCTTAAGAATCTGTGAACAAATTTTGTTGCATGAATTTCGGGACACCCTGTAGAGTCTTCAATGGTAGTTTTGCTACACAGTAATTTACTTTTACCATTGAATTTTTACCAGTACTATTTATTGACATGAATGACACAAATTAATGTGGTTAATGTTAGTTCATTAAGATTCTTGGGAGATACAATAATCATTATCATGACAATTTGCAAAATTTTTTAAAATATTGATTAGCAAATTCCACAAAATTTATTTTTCTGTGTAATATCTAAACTAAGTTTGAATCTAAATTATTTAAATGATTCCTTAAATTTTTATATTTTTAGAAAACATTCAAGGTTTCTTTGGTAAATTTAAATTGCAAATTAATTTAAAAATAAAGAAGTAATAAAATAAGTCACTAATTTTTTATTATATCCTTGTTTAATCATTTCTTGAATAATTATACTGATTAATTTTATTTTGTTGGTTCGAAATTTCAGAATAGTAATAATTTTTTGCCTGGTGAATGAAATAAAAATTATATATTAAGCTTACCGGCTGCTGCTACTAAAAGGCAGATGAATACTCCGAAACTTTTTCCTATATACATTTTGATAGTACCTCTTCAGTATCAAATGCAGGAATACTTAATATATTGTCACACCACTTTCAAAGCAGTAAATTTTCATAATTTTATCGGAAAAATAGACACTTTAGTGCACTTGCAATATCACATTGATATGATGAATATTTATTTACCTTTCACTGTTTTGTGTCGATATATTTTAAATTGAATGGCTTGTATGACCTTACAATCGTTTATTTTTTATTCTGCCTGGGATTCATATTTCCCGTTCTTTTAAGATGCGGACTTTAAAAATGCAGTGTAATAATTTCATGAAATCATACGTAAATAATAATTATTATTTTATCATTGTCTATTATCAAAAAATATAATTGTTAAATTGGTTACTGGGTTTTTCAAACTATCATCACTCCTTGCTAAAATAGGTAGGTACAGAAAATAGTATTTTTAAATGGTGAGAGATTTATTTAGTTAATATTAGTTTTTCTAATTGGAAAGATTGATGTGCTTACTTCTTATGAATAAGAAATAGGTAGATAGATGGCGCAGAATGATAGTATAGTCCAGGAAATATAGTTGGACGCGACTTTTTGTTTCGGCAAGCTGAATTTATCACTATATATGCTAAATATTATGTACAATAACATATTAGTTTCCACAGTCATAAAAATGGGGGGAAGATTGTTTTCAGGGTAGTTAATTGTATAATTTTTACGTAAATTCACATTTTTCGCTTATAACTTTTTTCCGTTCATTTCCACGAGAAAACAGTAAAATACTTTTTTTTTCGTCTTCAAAATATATACAAAACTAGCGTAAAAAAATATTGATTAGATCAAAAGTTATAAACATAAGAAGTTTATTTATGACTTTTGAATAACTCACACGAAATCTGGAATCGGTTGCAAATTTGAAATTAAAAACAAAATGATAGATTTCAATGTATTATAATGATATCTACCATGAAAAAAATCAGTGCGATTGTGGAAGATCCTCGGGGTCGTCCAGACTAATAATTAATTAATTTGTTTGTAAGGCCATAACTTGTAAACTATTCAACTTACCGATTCCAGATTTCGTGTGAGTTATTAGACAGGATGATAAGGAATGAGAGGATGCGATGCCAAAACGTTCTGGTAATAATAACGCAGTTTATAAATGTTTAATTCAAAAGTCATAAATAAACTACCTCTGTTTATAACTTTTGATCTAATCAATATTTTTTGACGCTCGAGGGCTAGTTTTGGTGGTCTTTTGAAGACGAAAAAAAAGTTTTCACGTAGAAATGAACGGAAAAAAGTTATAAACGAAAAACGTGAATTTACGTAAAAATTATACAATTAACTGCTCTATAAACAATCTTCCCCCCATTTTTATGATTGTGGAAAGTAATATGTTGTTATACATAATATTTAGCATCTATAGTGATAAATTCAGCTTGCCGAAACAAAAAGGTCATTTCCCAGCTTATTTTCCTGGCCTAAGTACCTTTCTGCGCCTTGCAGTCTGCCGTACAGGCTTTGATTTTAGCCAATTTTTGTAATTAAAATCTCTTCCCCTCAAGTATTTACTATCCATAAAAACAATAAAGGTGAACTCTGGTAATTTGGAGCTATAATAACTACTAAATAAGTAAAATATAGTCAAAATGGTTCAAATTATCGGCAAGTTCTTTTGAATTTGAGAAAAAAAATTATAATATATTCAGATACTCAATTATTGATATGAGCATTAACAAGTACCCATCATATTTTTCAATGAAGATGCAAGAACTTATGCAAAAGTATAATCGATCAACTGCATTTCAATTGACAAAAGTTATTTCTAAAAGATAAATGACATAGTCCAGGCAAGTTATACCAAAATCACCCAGAATATGGAATTTTTTTTCTGATGAACCGATCGAGTTGCGGTTTTCGGCATTGTCTTCGGAAAAATATCAGGAAAAAAGTCTATCTATTACACTTTGGGGCTGGATCGAAACAGCATTGGTTGGTAAGCAGGTGGAGCAGTTTTTTTGCAAAAATCTGGTATGCCTTTCGATGTTTTCCAGAAAGCCCACCCCACGGACGTCGGGCATACTTTTCAGTGTCAGAATCGGAATCTCCGACCCCAAAAACCTCCGAGTGGAAATTTAGAAGGCAATTACTCAGCTATTCGATGTTTTACAGAAGTCCCCCCTTGTCCCCTGAGGGGGGGCAGGGCGCGTCGGGCATACTTTTCAGTGTCAGAATCAAAATCCCCGAGCCCAAAAACCCCCCAGTGGAAATTTAGAAGGTAATTACTCAGCTATTCGATGTTTTACAGAAGCCCTCCCTTGCCCCCCCCTGGGGGGCCCTAGGGGCGTCGGGCATACTTTTCAGTGTCAGAATCGAAATCCCCGACCCCAAAACCCCCCGAGTGGAAATTTAGAAGGCAATTACTCAGCTATTCGATGTTTTACAGAAGCCCTCCCTTGTCCCCCTGGGGGGTCCCAGGGGCGTCGGGCATACTTTTCAGTGTCAGAATCGAAATCTCCGACCCCAAAAACCCCCGAGTGGAAATTTAGAAGGCAATTGCTGAGCTATTCGATGTTTTACAGATGGCCCCACCCCTTGCCCCTTTGGGGGCCCCAGGGCCGTCGGGCATATTTTTCAGGGTCAGATTCGGAATCTCCGACCCCGAAAATCCGTGCACACAAATTTCTACAACTTTTAGTCAATTTTTACCATTTTTAGAAAATTCGGAAAAATTGATGCACTCCAAGATGCAGTTTATGCACCCGCAATGCAGTTTCGATCCAGCCCCAAAGTGTGATAGACTTTTTTTCTGATATTTTTCCGAAGACAATGCCGAAAACTGCAACTCCATCGGTTCGTCAGAAAAAAATTTCTGATTTATTGTCTAACTTGCCTGGTCTAACATGATAAAAAAACATTCTTGTACAGGCTGGTCCATTTTCGATGGGAATTCAGGGTATTTCAGAATCTACTAAAGATATGATAAATCTGACACGACGTTCTCGAGCTCGATTTTCATGGTAAACTCGACTGTCAAATCGGAAATTTGCTATCTTCATTTGTTTCTGAGTTACAGGGCGTTTCTCGTTACTGTCGCATTTTTTAACATTTGTATCTCTGCTGTTAAATAAGTTAGAGTTAAAGTGAAAACTGCTCAAGACTAATTCTTTAGCGTAGAATTGAATGCCGGTATTAGATTTTTAGTAGATCTTAAGACTTCGGAGTTCTGACCCAAAGTTATATTTTTTTAAATGGAAATCGTAGCTGACCATGGCCTAAAAAATAGAGATTTTTTTTGCTTTTTAGCAATATATCACATGCTATAGTTATTTTTACAAACACGGGAGATACGGGGTGTTTTATATATAAACTATATTTTTTTTTTCCTTTTTAATGGCTATGAAAATACAGATAAAACTATAATTCTTACTTTTACAAAAGTTATATCTGTTGTAAAAATATGACGTTTATTTTAAATGCACAACATATACTCGTGTGATAATATAATACTAACGAAATTTTAGGAGATAGGTGGATAGGAACAAACGGACCGATCAGATGGCCAGCTAGGTTACCTGATTTGAGTCCGTTGGACTTTTTCCTTTGAGGTTTTCTAAAAGACATTATATTTAAAATTCCTTTTAATAATATTTCAAATACCTATACATTTAATGAATGCTACCCGAAGCGTTGCCAGAAGATGCGTGAAATGTGTGACAGTTGAGGGACGGCAATTTGAACATTTAGCTATCATTTTTGAAAGTTTTTATTGATGTAGGTACTTACTATTGTTTAATTTACGTTTAATATTGTAACTTCAGTTGAAGTGGAATAAAAATTTGAAAACTCTGTCTTTTCTTATCTGTAATATATATTTTAAATAAACGTCATATTTTTACAACAGATATGAGTTTTGTAAAAGTAAGAATTATAGTTTTGTATGTATTTTCATAGCCAGCCATATTAAAATGTAAAAAAGGATCGAATTTATATATAAAACACCCCGTATCTTCTGTGTTTGGAAAAATAACTATAGCATGTGGTATATTGCTGAAAAGCAAAAAAAAATCTCCATTTTTTTAGGTCATAACCAGCTACGATTTCCATTTAAAAAATTATAACTTTGGGTCATAACTCCGGAATCTTAAGACCTACTAAAAATCTAATACCGGCATTCAATTCTACGCCAAAGAATTAGTCTTGAGCAGTTTTCACTTTAACTCTAACTTATTTAACAGCTGAGATACAGGCATGTTCAAATGTGTCACAATAACAAGAAACGCCCTGTAACTCAGAAACAAATGAAGATAGCAAATTTCTGATTTGACAGTCGAGTTTGCCATGAAAATCGAGCTCGAGAACGTGGTGTCAGATTTATCATATCTTTAGTTGTTTCTGAGATACCCTGAAATCCCACCGAAAATGGACCAGCCTGTACATGTAGGAGGATATTGGTTTCTCGAGAATTGTGAAAACGTCAAGATTTTGACGGTAAACAATACGATGAGAAATACTTTCAACGTTTCTGTATGATACGTGTATATATTTATACAGGGTGTCCCTGAAAAGAATGGACAACGCTTGACCACAGGTTCCTTGGATGAAGACTATTTAGCCTAACTTACCTATATACAAAAATGCACGCCTACTGAGATATAGCCTTCTAAATATAGAATAGATAACCTAGTTTCACTGGATGAAAAAACATCAGTAAACTTTTAACAGAGGAAGTTAGATGATTTTATTAGTGACCTAGGTTTACCAAATGAAAAAAGGTATTAGGGTGGGTGGGATATCATGCTCGATTTGAACAGAGAACTCAAGATTTAGAGATAAAAAGAGAAATAGAAACCCATCACATAGATCTTTGGAAGACAAAAGAGTTAAAAAGAATACTTTTATACTCTAAATAAGTACCTCTCTCTGGTGTCTTCGTGAAATACTGTTTTTTTATAAATTGAATGTACTTTTTCTCGGAAGTAGTGGGTGCTGGTGCTAAACGAATCACCTTCTCCCATGACGCTACAATATTTAAGCAAAGAACCCTTTTTGCGGATTTAGGGATCGTTTTCTCGAAAATGGTGAAAGCTACTGCTAAACTGATTTCAGATTCGTATTCAAAACGTATTAATAATATGACCTGATAAAAAAACAAATAATTTTGTGTGC